TATATATATAAAACGTGATTTTACCAATTTTCCTTGTCCCTATAGATAACAGCCAGTACATAGGAAACTACCAAGGAAGAAGTGAACAATGGTTGGTTGAACACTCACTACTAGGTATACTTTATTAGACACATTATCAACATAACTATACTATCAAATTTAAAATCTTACGCACATAATACTTAAGATATGGATTCGATTTCACTGATTTACTATGACGGATCTGTCTGAGAGATAACTCAGTCTATTTCATCACCAACTTTACTGTTGCATATTGGAAATAGTAAGACTGACTAGTTACACACACTGAAAAAGTTAGTTTATCTGATGATAAGTCTGGGAGAATGTACCTGCCAGAATAGCTTTACAACCCTTTTGATGATATATTAGGAAACTACTCATGAATAGCATCACTTCGATTTGGATGTTGTAAAACAAAAACAAAAAACACCTATCCATTATTCATCTCAGTTACAACAAATCTTCGCCTAATATATATGAATGTGCATGCCAATCAGATAGATAACTACAGAGAATGAACAAATCCAAGCGCCAAGTACACTGGCTCTGGTTATATATGGATGGAGGGCAACAAAAGTCTCTTCCTCCGATTAAACTTTCCAATGTCTCTCCTCCGCAATAACAATGAAAACAACTAACCAGTCGATTAAAAAAGGAGATAATAAATCTACATTTTCTTCATTTTTTTTATAATGCTCGAAATTTTCAACTTTTCTCTCTCCAACCCGTCGCCGTCGCCCGCTCCTCCCCTTGCCCACCTTAACAAACACATACATACATACTTTCCGTTCTAATCATTTATCCCTAAGGCTAGGCAAAAGTTAATTACAGTTCAATTGGAATGAATGCTATGTACCATAATTCCTCTTCCTAATAGTACACAATTAACTTAATTTTTGACTTTGTAACATTCTGTATTCGAATTCAATCAGTACAACAATCTGTACAACTACAATAAGGGTAATTTTTCTAGTGTCTTAAACCAACTGAAAAATTATGTTTTTATTTAAAAGAGGAGAGATTCTATTGCAAATTACTTCTACTTTTTTTACATATATTTCAATTGAAGTTTGAATGTGAACATTTCCCTGAGGTTAAATTGGTGTCTTGTCCATCCATCACAGATTCATCCGCCCGAGGTACACATTATTCTACAGTTTCTAACAGCAAATTTACGCATGCCTAGAATTCGGAAATAATTTCAGTTATTCAATTGTGGTGATTGACAGTTGTCATTCATAGGTGACTGTAACAGTGAAGAGATATCATCTTTAATCGAAGAGGCATTTATCTGTCCTCTGTTTCGCACTAGCAGCTGTTCACCCATTGCCCTTGTGGTATCCATCAATTGATGAACATTTACCAATTTAACATTGGATTTCCATGGGGGATTGTGATGGCGAATGGGAGGTAACTATTTTATTGAGATGATCATGGAAAACGAAATCATTGTTATACTTTGAAATGGTTCTCTGTATCCTTTCGGTTTTTCCTGGAGTATCCTGATATCTTTCGAAGTTTCTGTCGGAGTCACCTGGCGGTTTTCCTCCAGGTTTTCTTTATCTTCTTCGTCATACACATCACGCTGGTATTACGTATTTTTCCGATTCCGGTTTTTCCATTAAAACTCATAATGATTTGTGAAGCCCGTTTAAGCTGAACTTGGTTGAGAAATGTCTGTTGCAATATCAGAAGCTTAGTTGTTTACGAATTCCAGCTAACGTGAATATCCCGCTTTTACATCCAAATATGGCTGGGTAACACAACACTTTCTATTTAGGTAGAGTTCGCTGAGTCACTAGTCAAGATCCGTGAATTTCCGGTCTTCTGGATATATGCATTTAGAACATTGTTCTGGTTACTTATTCACTAGGTCGCCTTTAGGCGCGTATGAACATTGCACGGGACGATTGGATACGCGCCAAGAGATAACAGGTTTGTTTTCACATCAACTTTGATCACTGATTTTGATTTTACGTCTGTACACAGGTCCACGCAAAGTCCACGCTCCACTCAGAACCCAAAGGAATAATAGTAACATACACGCCTGCACCTTCGCTAAGTGGTAGCGTTCCCAATGACACTATAAATATTGTTGTCGACATAAGAAGCTGTGAATTGATAGTATCAGTAGCCATAAATATTATATACATGTTTTATACTTGAAATTTTGGCACGGTTATTGGCATGAAATGAAACAAATCACATTTTGTAATCTGAATACTTTCTGTTGTTTGTTTTATAATTCATTCTGACTTTGATACATATCAATTTCATTACGAACAGTGGATTTTCACACCACTACCCCCCTATTTAAATGTAACTTTTTTTTCTATTTCCAAATAGTGCATCTATGATACACCAGTGTACTGCTTATTACTGACTGACTGGCCGATTGACGGAGTAACTAAGTGGTTAGATGACTAACTTATCGATGGATAGAAAATGGAATTTCGAACAGAAAAGTATCAACTGTAATGGTTACACCCTACGTAAGAGCGAACATGAAAAGAGAGATCAGTGACCAAATGATTCCGCAATGGAAAAATATCGGTTTTTACAAGATAATAGTTCACAGAAACTCAATGAAGCTTCACAGAATGTAAGAAATGAAAAGGAATGAACTCTGATTTATTTTTGTGAAAGACGTAAAGCAATTCCACACACAATCACCAGCTATATTGATTCTTAGTATCCCTAAAACTCAGTCAGGCAACCTACACCTGGCTTCAGACCAATAGTCAGTCAGTCAATGACTTCATGAACTATTGTTGCATTCTAGTTGGACTACCTCCATCTATCTTCAACCTATTTCTACTTCAGTCAATATTATTCATCGAGGAAGGTAGTGAATCGATATGCGTTACACATATCTCAGTCACCTTATTCGATGAAAGTTCAACATCTCTCGATTGAAAAGCTAGGTATAATATCATTGTTGCTCGCGTCATGGTGCTGTACACAAACGTGACAAGTGAATGAATACATCTGTGGCCAAACATCAGCGACTATGCCTCATGACTATAGAGTAGAACATAGAGAACCACTTGATACTACTGCTTATCATCAATACAAATACTTCTGATAGAGATCGAAATTAGCGCTAACGAACACACACTAGTTGACAAATATTTGTGATGAATTTCTGGAAGTTTAGAGAGGAGAGTATAAACAGTTGCTTCAACTTAGTTTATTATAGCACTTTTTCTCGATTTTTTAAAATTACTATTCCATACTTGTACCAAAAATACGGTGTGGAATCAAGCTGTAATCAAAAATAAAAATAAAATAAATAAATAATTTATGCGTCAACGGTTCAGTAGTAGAATACTTGCCAACCAGTTATGTGGTCCGGGGTTCGATTCCCGGCGACTCACTCTTAAACTTCGCCTAGCCGGTAATAATTAGCTGGCAAAACAGACATATCCCGTTAAAAAACACTACTACTACTGAAACTTTGAAGCTGAAGCTGAGGCTTGAAGCTTCATGTTCCACTTGGGTCTCAAAGAAATTATCAAAGGAACCTGCAATTGAACCGTTTTACTCGGTTTTAGTATTATCATCATTATTACTGTTAATATTCATTCGCGTATGGTGAGATAATAGAAAACGAAAGGCATTACAACCTCAATAAACACCAGTTTTTTAGTCTTTGGTATGTTGGTAAACTATTCAAATCCATAAAGCTGTATAAGTGAATTAACCTTTGGATATCATATAACATAGATTTGTTTGATAAGCTAAGAGACATATAAGGATGACGTCAACCAAAATATCATATTTTCATTCTTGTTGTTGTTATTGTTGTTTCCACTTAATATACAATATGAGTCATCTATTTTGACAGAATGACAATACAAAACAATAAGTCTAACAGTGTTGCAATGAGTTAAACGAGTAAGAAAAACACAGCTAAACCACTAAAAACTCGTAAACAAACAGAGAAATAATGCGCAAAATATTTTGTTTTCACTTCTATTTAACAAGCGCATAAGCAAAATCTAATTGTTTGATTGTCTTTGTACGCATTTTATTAAGTACTTAAATTGTTGCTTTAGTAACTTTTAACCTCTCCTACTTCTTATCAATTAAATAGTGTTATTCAGTGGTATGGCGTTGGCGGTAGAATGCTCACCAACCACGCATGTGGTTCGTGGTTCGACCTCCGGCCGATGAACCCCTTTACGCCATTAAGCCAGTAATACGGACTGATAGAGAAGGAAGGTTGGATATGAGACCAGCAACCCCATACCGTAAAAATAAACACCACTGCCACCACCTAAACCCCAAACCTACAGCTTGAAGCTCTATGTTCCACCAGAAACATAAAACGATTAGAAGAGTCTGACTTTCCGTAATCGATTATCAAATAGCAACTGACGTGTATATCATGCATTGAAAGCTCTCAATGAATTTTCCGTTGTTCGTTTGGTCGCGATTTGACTGAATACCACCAAGGCAGTTTTCGTTAATAAAACAACATTAACATTAAGAGAACACCAATGAAAGTCAGAGAGTGTTGGGACAGCTGTTTTTCGTTTAAAATCAGGAGAAAATACAACTGTCTAGTGTTTCCTGTGTCTATCATTTTACCTTGAAATACTGCCAAAGAACAACATACCATACTGAATTGTATTCAACACAAAATGTTGTAATTCAATTAGAAAAGCCTTAAATGACCCTAATATATTGACGTTTGTTTGGTGACGAACGAACACTCATATGTCACTTGATGGCTTCTTCTTTTCATGTGTTATAATTTCACTACATGCCTGTATTGTTGTACCTACAATAACAAAATTACTACAAGCCTGCAGAACACAACTAGTTATATTATAATGACTGTTTTTCAATTGACATCTAAGTAAGTGTGAAAAGAGAATTTTCTTCCTTTTCTTTTTTTTCTAACAATAAAAACAGCCCACTGCCACCACCAACAACAACAACAATAAAAGAGCAAATCAAACAAATCAACTTACTTTACGTAAATGCTGTTTGGTAAAAATCTAAGCAGATGAATGAATCACTGATGTGGATGATGGCAGTTCTTTTGCCTAGATAACGAATGATCAACGGTGGGAGTACTAGTAATTAATTAGTAGCACGAGTAGTATCGCCAAGGAAGACAAAGATGATCAACAAAAAGGTTTGCCTTTTTCAATGATACTTTTCAACTAGATAAACAGGAAAAGGAAAAAACAAACAAACAGAAATATTCAGGGTAACTTTTGCGCAACATTTAAATCAACTATAATGATGACAAAAACTGTGAACATGATTAGATTATAAGCAAATACTCATCAATGATCTGAAAAAAAACACAACACAAAACAGATATAAATACCAAAACAGTGACGGAAGCTAATACAGACAACTAGGTAAGAGTAATGGGGTGTCAATGTAGTTGAAGATTGTGAACGATCAATTCATGGTTGTTTGCTCAAAACCAACTTCCCCAATTTTCGCGGAGGCATCAATCAGCCGATCATCGTCTCATCGGTCGCTGTTCAGAAAGAAGTCAGGAGAAAACTGTCAGAAGTAATATTGTGATTTATTATTGTAATATTTGTTCATAGACCTTAGTTGTACATTGGCTATATGTTGGGGTTTTAGAATAAATAATTCTCGAGTCGCCCAACTGGGTTCTAGTTTTTGCGTCCGTTCGTACTGAGCATTTCTGAGAAGCTTCGAGGAACAGTGTTAGTCCCAGCGCAGCAAGAGCTGGGCATTAACGGTTTACGAGACGTGGCTGACATGGGGTATTACACCTTAGGCTAAAAATCAACTTAATCAATAAAGCCATAATGTAAGTAAATAATCAGGTTGGTTCATTATTATTAAGCTCTTATAATGAAAATCTTGTTTGACACAATCCTTTTATTTTTTAGTATAAGTATAAAACTTGGGCACTGTGGTTGAGTATAACTTCATTATGGATAAGATTTTATGTTGATAAATCACACAGTGTTGTACACTTATGTTAACTGATGATGTTTGGAGCACAAACTGTTGCTCATAATATCATATCAACTTGATATGATTATGAGCAATAGTTTGTGCTCGAAACGTCATCAGTTAATATAACTGTACAACCCTTTATTTTCTAGATTATTAAATGGTTTCAATCGATGTACTTGTAGATTCTATACTTAAACATGAAGTGTCACGTTTATTAGGTAACAAATGGACACATTGATTACAACATGAGGTCAGGTCATGATGAAATCCTGTAACAAATCAAATCCCTGCAAGCAAACACTTGGATAAAGTAAGAAAGTATCTTGGTTTCATTATTATTCAATGTGATAACTATTACTATGTATTCCTTGAACCTCGAATGGATCACAGAACTTCAGAAATACACACATCCATTGCACTCGATTATCTAACACCTCTAGCTCTACGACTGCCCATATGCTTACATTCCCGCTTCACTATTAGACTCAAGCTCAACCCTCTACTTCTTATTCAGGTCCTACTTGACAGCCTCCGCAGAGTATGTAAAAGTTCATTTTCAATTGCCTCTGCTTGTTTGTTGGGTAGTAAGATATTGGCTGGTCTACTGCCCTGCAAGAGTCCCATGTAGCTTATCCCATCTAGACAACCAGTAGGCCATCTGATTTCGAGTATCTAGCAGGCGATGTATGTTGTTGTTGACGAAAGTTAGCTCCTATCTATTAGAAATGCTTTCTATGACACACAAAGTTTGTGAAGCATACAGAAACATAGACTTGACACTAGAACTGGAAATTCAGATCTTGTTTTCTGTAGTGAGTGCCGTGGTTCTCCATAATGATTTCAGAGTGATGATACCTGGTGTTTATTTCCCGATGGCATACTAAAGTTAGCTCTGACATCGTCATCTGTGCCATGTGTAGTTGAAATGATAAGCTACTGAGGTAAATAAAAGAGACAACTTTCCTTCTGATTTTTTCATAAAGAATTAAAATGCATTCGTTAAACTGACTGTGACACCTGACAGTTTTTTTTACTGGAAGCACGTATATACCTACTCCTGATAAGTTCAAAACTATAACGAAGTATATCTCCATGACATATTCTCTATAACTGATTATGTTCTCGTAAATTGAACAATCTTCTTTTTAAAAACTATCTTCAAATGAATTGCATAAGTGGATTTAAAAATTCGTAAAAAGAAACGCCAACTTGTATCCACCACTGATAAAAACCAATGCTCACTCTCATATTGATCTAATACCATATCACATGTATGTGAGTGTGTGTGTTTGTGTGTACGCGCGTATTTCAATGTAAACAAAGTTTGTTTAATTATTGATTGTAAGCTGAAATTTTTGTAACTCTTTCATAGCACTCTACACAATAAAATGTTCAAAGAAAACTTTGAAAAAAATGAGAAAGTAGACAACTAACTCCAGAACCGATGAAAAATAAAGGAGTGTTGATGTGACACATTCATTTACGAAATATTCCAGTTCACTGGCTTGTGAACAGTAAAGTATGAGACTAGCGGACCTTCGTACACACCAGGCACGTTTGGAAAAGTTGAATATGTTATACACATGTAACGGAGGCTAAAACAAAACACCTGCCCAGTGTTCACAGCCAAATCGTCACAAACCATAAAAGTTCCATAATCTCAAAATATAGCAAATTGAATTACTATTGTTATACTGTCGTCTAAGACCTCATTTTCTGTTCCCAACAAACTTTAATGTATCCCTAGGTATCCACAATTACAAAGATTGTTACACTTACATAGAACTCAATCGCTTAATGGTAATTCAAGTGGATTTCAGTTAATTGTTGGTTTTTGTAGGGACTTCGCTCCATTGGTTGCAGGATTTCATCATAAGCTGACCTTATTCAGGCAGAAACTTGGGATTCTATTGGCATACCGTGACCAGTAAGGTACAGCAGGTTGAAGGTGAGAACTGTTGCCTATCGAAGAAGACATTGCAAAGTGGTCGCGCTATGTCATGAATTGGCAGAAGTTAGAACTTATGGGCTGGCCATTGGATCGGGTTCCAGTGGCTTAGTGGTCTAAGAGCTCGCTAGCCTTGTAACCATAAGGTCATATGTTCGAACTCCGAACGCTGTCCAGTATAATCCCAGGATTTCCAATTGTTCTTTAACTGATGTCAGCTCATGATGAAATCCTCCAACCAATGAATTTAAGTTAAATTGATAAATAAATTACAAAGAACATGTCTACATTAAGACAATTATTTTCATTTAACCTAATAAATTATTGCTAATTGAAACTTTCTGACAACACATTTGGTAGGTGATTATGCCCATAAGCAGCACAATAAACACATATATTTAGCTTCCATGCACTGTCTTATAAATTATATATAAGTTAGTTCATGGAATGACATCAGTTAAGAAGTCATAAAGAATCAGAGACTCTTCAACTGCACTGGAGGTCAAACTGAGGACCTGTCCAATAGTGGTTGATAATATATATAGGATGAAGTTGGCCAGGGTTCTTGTAAGAAGTCATGACCCTTGAGGTCCGCGAATAACACTGGCGGGCAGTTGCGCCATCATATATCGTAAGCGATTAGATGTTAGAATCCGTGAGCCACTGATTGGTATGTCAGCTCGTCTCGATCCCCAACAGATATGTACTGCTGAAAGGTTCCAAGACAAGAAGAAACAGCTATCCAGTACTCCCTGTTTTCCTCTTGTTCTGTAACTGATACCAGTTTCCGACCTAACTCCAAATCGGTTTAATTTCAATTAACACTTAAATATATGCATATTTCAATGGAACATTCGGACGAGCTCTTACAGAAACAGCATTCACATCTAACTAGAAATTCAGGTTTCATTATTACCATAGATTTCAATAAAATCAGGGATTACATATATCAACAAAACATTACAAAACTAAGACTTCCCTATGATTCTTCGACAAGAACTCCTAATAAAAAATAAATGAAATCCTATTACGAGATTTATCATCACTTTATTCTTTATCAAATAAAGTACATATTAAACTGAAATAGTTTATCTATTCAACAGAAATAAAGAAACATGATAAAATAATTAATGCAAGAGTATTAATCGTACGGTGAACATCACACTTCAGAGATAACAAGTATGTGAAGCGCTTAGCCAACCAAATTACGATTATAATTACTATTATTATTATTCCTTTTTTAAAGTTTGACCAAGGATTGATATCCGTCACAGCTAGAGTGTTGAGGTGTGATACAGACAATGTGTTCCAGTGGAATATTATTCTCACATATTCCCACAATTCAATTCGGCATTAGCAACAGAATACGACATAAATTTGAACATTCTGTTTGTTGCTACAGTCAGAATAGCATTCTCACAGTTCAATACTGCGTTAGCAACAGAATACCCGGTAGGTTTGAACATTCTATTTCACGTTGTTTAATGTAAGCCAAAATCACACGCTCAATGACTGTTTAGAGAATACAAAACTATATATATGTATAAACAGCGGTTTGATTAATGAGAAATATACCTTGGCTTCTGTGTCTTGCCTTATACTGCTACAGAAGTAATAGTAGTAGTGGTAGTAAGTGGAGAAAAATATCATAAAGCCTACACCTATACAACTCGATTTGTTTGAAATTAAGAGTATTAATAAAGAATATATTAGCCCAATCAGTATCCAATATGAAACTAATTTATTCAAGAAAGAGGAAATAAAACATTCTGCGCATTTAAATGGCTTACAAGTATATGATTTAATTTAGATTAAAAAAACACCAGTAGGATTCTATTTTGTCTTCTATTTTTTTTAATTCAACAAGATACTCAAGGTTACTTCATATGCCTGTGCCTTTTAGATTGCTTTTTCAATGTCTTATTCATTTAAGTGGTCCTGTTTTAAATTGCATTGTGTCTTATGAAGTTAAATGGTATTGTAGTTGATTAGAATTTGAGAAAATTGCAATGAATAACCACTGATATCTGCTGTATAACATGTGTTTCTAATGTCCCAGTGACTTAGTCACACAAGTGAACATCATCACACCCGGGATACAAAGGCGAACAAACAACGCTTACCGAATAGAACCAAGTGATCATCCTGAATTCCCACTGCTAACTCTCATCTATCGAATTACATTGAAACGGGAGTGTTTTTTCATCATAATGCCTGATGAACATCCAAGTCCTGGGTTTGTGTGTGCATACAAATGATTTCAAGATT